CACAAATGAAGAAAAAAATGGACAACCATTCTTAGCCGAATTTTTCCTTTTCTAATGGACTTTTACAAGGATTTTATTTTGGAACAAGTAATTGTACACAGAATTAAAAATTAGTTTTTCGAAACTTTTCAAATTGAGAACGCTCGTAAATATAAGTCAGTGAAAATGAAACTAAAGTTAAATTATGGGAGATGCTAAATGATACAATTTAATGTCGATTAAATGGAAGCGAGTAAATATTGTTATTGTTTAATTTTTTGATAATGTAATTATTATCTATACTTTAGTGGAGAAATTAATTTATGGATTATATACAAAGTGGGCCAGATGTAGGTGGAGAGTAAATGATAAAAAATAGATAAATTTAGTTATAAAATCTAAAATAAAATACCACAAATACCATAGTTAAAATGAACACCATTGTAATGATATAACAGATACAGTGACTTATTTCACATATTGTTCCACGACTCTTGGTACACACTGTATTTTAAAAAACAGGTTTTGAATGTAAACGTTCTGTTGCAATTCTTTTAAATTTTTGTAGTTATGTATCTTGGTTTGGGAAAGGAGAATTTCTTTTAGGAAAGAAGAAAAATTTATAGCGCAGATTTATATTTTGATAAGATTCCATAGCGTCACTCTCAAGAACTTCCCGTCTATGTAAATTATTTTCACTCAACCACAATATTCTTCTAAAGAATGTCCCACTTATAAAAGTGATGATGTTGTCTTGTCAAGTGATGATGTTGAATGTAGAGCTATATTCAACAACATCACTCGATAAGACAACAAATGTGTTGAAACAAAATGGCTATTTTTGTAGTGATTTTATAAGATATTTATGTTATAATTTTTAAACAAATAATCATATATATATATATATATATATATATATATATATATATATATATATATGTGTGTATAGTAGAACAATTCGCAGTTTTTGGGAACAATTTAAGGTAAAAAATTGTATGAATGCAGATTGTCACTCCAATATATATATATATATATATATATATATATATATATATATATGTATGTATATTAGAAAACAGTCAATCTATGATCAGCAAATGAGGATATCGTTATGCATAAAACTCGTGGTATCGGTAAGGGATATCATTATCATGAATTTTATTTATATACACATGTCTCTCTCTCTCTCTCTCTCTCTCTCTATATATATATATATATATATATATATATATATGTGTGTGTGTGTATGTGTGTGTGTATGTGTGTGTGTGTTTGTGTTTGTGTGTGCGTGTGTGTGTATTAAGTCATTAGTGTACTTCCATGTTGTATCAAGGTTCCAAAGCTTGATTTACTAGATATTTAGGATTGTGTAGAGTGTCACTGTGCCACATCAAAGCTACGCCTGATAAATTGCAATAAATATCTCTCTTTTCCCGACCATCTCTCTCAATATATATATATATATATATATATATATATATATATATATATATATATATATATATATATATATATATGTGTTCACATGTCCCACTTTATCTAATTACAATGTGTTCATATCTATCTATCTATCTATCTATCTATCTATCTATCTATCTATCTTATTCTGTTATTCTAGCTAGCTAGCTACCTGTCTGTCAGTATTTTGACTTTGTCTCTCTCTCTCTCTCTCCCTCTAAATTATATATATATATATATATATATATATATATATATATATATATATATATATATAATAGGGCTATTATAATGGTGTCCGATCTATAATAAAAGAGCTACAATTTATATTAATAATAAATAGAATAGCACAACTCTGAATTTCATTCACAATCCAATCGTCAGGTGCCGATTTAAGAATTCTGCTGATGATAGAAAAAGTATATTCATTATATATATATATATATATATATATATATATATATATATATATATATTATGAGCTTGTAAGTATATACGTATTATATATATATATATATCTATATATATACATATGTGTGTGTGAATATGTATGTGTGAATGTGTCATGAAACAGAATTTAAGAATTGTATGTGTATGTCTTTCTTCAACTACATATAAATGCAAACATTATATATATACTGTAAGTATATATATTGTACACACAAACACACACACATATATATACACCTCTGACTTTGTGTGCGTTTGTGTTTATGTGTGTGTGTGTGTCCGTGTGTGCGTCTGTGTTTCAGGGCTGGT